ATTTCTGATCAAATATTAATGTTTTATGTATTGTTAATATGTAATATTCTTTGGACATGCGTGGCAGATCAAAGTTTACAAATTCATTATTTTTTAGCGTTGTTACTAAGTTTTCAACCTCTGAAGCATTAAAGGCTGCATTGCCACTCCTAGGAAACAAATACACAATCATGAGTTTTGAAGTGGTACTGCAGCTGGTTCATTTGCATTTTTCAAGTTGATTTAATTTTTAATATCAACCAGTGGTGTGATATAAAACAAAATCCAACAGATTGGAAATACTCCTAACCAATTCCACAGGACATTTACTTAGTTTAGTTTTGTTTCTTAAATAAAATATGAAAGACAGTCATTTTAAGGTGAATATTTTGCAGAAAAACAACACATTAAAAAAACAAAAAACACTACCAGCCCGGCAATTTTAAATTCAATTAGACTTTGGGACCTATACGGGATGAAATGTGGCCTTACTGCATCCCCCTCTCCCCTCATGCCTAAATTACATAATAGAGCATTTGGACCAGGCATGGTAGCACAGTAAACTATCGATCTCAGAACGCACTCAGCTGCGGTAGCCGCAAAAGGAGAACTTGTAAAAACAACGAAGGTCCATAGGCAGTTAGTAGCTGGGAACGTTGCAACAAGGCAGTCACAGGGGGGATACAATGTGGTCCTAGAAAACCACCACATATTGAGACCAATATAATTAAAAACAGTAGGATTAAGCCAAAGTCCAACATCAGCTTTACAAGGTGCTGCAGAAGACACCTGAAGAGTATTAAAGTGCAGATTATAAAACAGGAAGTTACATAACTACAAAACAGAGGGGAAGGGAATAAGCAGAGTGGGCTTACATAAACAGACCCCTGAACCTGACTACAGCCTCATATGAATCCTACACGCAAACACTATCTAAAGAACCTCTAAATTCGAGGCCGGACCGGGCTATTGTGACTATTTAACCATTCTGATGTAAAGCTAGTGGTTCTGAGAGAAAAGACAAACGTGCACTGTATATTTTTTAACCCGAATACCAATTGTAATATATAACTATCGCAATTTTTGCCAATACTGTGGGGGTTGAGAACTATGTATGTACGACAGATTATATTTCTTTGTGCACGCAAAAATAAAGAATTTAAAAAAACAAACAAAAAAAAAACAGACAGCCAAACTTGACTTACTGAAAATACAAATCAAAGACCTCTCTTGTATATTGTTTTTGTGTATTTGGAAAGTAATCAGAATCTGATCGAATAAAAGATTAGGGGCTAGATTTTAGATTTCACTTAGATGTCAACAGGTTACCAGAGATAAGGGACACACACGTACCGTTACCACGGGAAGTCCTTGCATTCTTTTGGGCGGTTATCCTGTACTTTCTAGAGCACCTTTTTTCTATTTTGCAGTCTTTTTCTGTCTCCAATGATATAGGACTTCTATGAACCCCACATTTGAGTTTTGTTGGCACGTGAAAGCTATCCAATATTCATGATAGGGACAATACAGGTATATACGATATTCACAATGGAATTTGGTTTTGAAGCGCTTTGTTAGATATGTAAGTAGGGAAGAATGGTAATGAAATGAGTGAGCAGTGACTAATAAATTATCATACTCTGTCTAGACCAATAACTCTTAAAGGAATCATTGTCACAATACATGCTTTATAAAGGTTTTAAGTGGATCCAAATTGTTGCCCAGGTGGTGTAGAAATATATTAATTTAAGAAGACCCTTGATTTCCTGATCTGGTATTAATTTTTTGAGGTTTAGTTCCCATTTATCAAACTAATAGTGCCCTGTGTATATGTACTTAAAGAAAGGCAACTGCAAGAATTTGTCTTTTTCTAGCAAGTAGTCGTTAGTGTGGTGTATGGTAGTTTATGGTAAGAAGTAAGAAATAAAACACAACTGCTTCTTTTAAGGATATGATATATAGATTTATGAAGAGGTATAAGCAATCTAAAACCTTGGAAGAACACCTTGTAGATTCCATTGAGTTCAATGAACAATAATTGGTTAAGGGCTGAGAGATACATTGAAAATAATCCTGATGGCTCACTAAGTATAGTTTTGCTACCACATATAGAAGACCATTTAATACAATTTAGTCCATAATTACTAATAATTTGCTTAATTATATTGTTTTACATGTCCAGTAATCTAAAGGATATTGGGTTGTGCAGAACAAAGTCATTTGGACTGTTTTCCATTATGTACTAATAGCATAGAATGAAATCCAGAGATAAAGTAAAAGTAGATGATCTGAAACAATACCACAGGTGGTGTTTAATCCTGTATATGTAATAGCTGTACAATATATCATGCACACCGGTCACCGCACTCTACCAATCTGATGTACTGAATCCAAACATTAACCATGTCAGGCATCATCATGGCACCCAATGAAGATGTTATAGAGTAAATGCATTTAGTAAGTGGCTGTCAGTTTGGCAACCACTAAAAGTTTAGTCTTCGACAAATGTAAACATTGCCGTTTCTCAGAAAAAGCAATGTTTCCCAGTGCCAAAGGAAAGAGACAGGTTCTAGGCACCCAAACCACAACATTGTGTGAGTAAGAGCAAGTGTGCTATAAATCATACTTACTGGACAACACGTCTTTAGACATAGTACAATAATAATAAACTTGTGGAAAGTTTCCACTCCCCTTTCAACCTCTCTACCTCGAAATACCATCTTTGTCAATTCAATACTGGTTTACTACCCCACCGTGAGATCTTACACCCTTAAACCCTTCTGCCAACCTGACCTAACACCCGCTATGATAAAGGAGTAAAGAAAAAAGCCCTAAAAATAAAATGGAAAAATTACATACAATTACATGCAAACAAACCACACCGAGAGGGAACAGGTAGACTACCTCTTTCCATTCTGGCTTATTTATACAGATACCTTACTCTTCTACTACTCCCTTTCCAGCCTATCTAAATTTTAACCGTGTCTTGCCTGTTGCAAAAGCCATTCTAGTCCCTTTTCTCTAAGCTACTCTTGCTCCTAGGGAGGGCTTTATTTTTTTTGCCTTAAAGGATCACTATAGGGTCAGGAACACAAACATGTATTCCTGACCCTATTGTGAAAACCCACCATTTAGATGTTTTGCCCCCCATTAGCCTCCTCAGAATGGGTTAAAACTCACCTTAATTCCAGCTCTCCATGGGTCCGGCGGTGCTTGCCCCGCCCCTTGGTTATGTCATCAAAATTGCAGTTTTTTAGCCAATCCAATGCTTTCAAATGGATAAAATTGGCAAGGGGGGGGGGGAGGGCAAATGCAGTTTTGCCCAATCAGCACCTCCTCATAGAGATGCATTGAATCAATGCATTTCTCTGAGGAAAATTCAGCGTCCCCAGTCAGAGCGTGGGGACGCTGAATAGCAGCGCTGCTTACTGTGCAGTCCTGAACCAGGAAGTCCCTCCAGTGGCCATCCGAGGAGTGGCCACTTGGAGGTGTCCCTATGGGCAATGTAAACACTGCCTTTTCTCTGAAAAGGCAGTGTTTGCATAAAAATGTCTGTAGGGAGCTATTATACTCACCAGAACAACTACATTAAGCTGTAGTTGTTCTGATGACTATAGTGTCCCTATTTGTGGCTACAAAGCCAGCTCCCAGGAGACAAAGAGTAGTGTGGCAGGGCTGCAATATTTTAAATTAAAAAAATAAAAATAAAATATACTGTATATAAAATAGAAATATACCATACTTCATGCTTAGTTCTCTATAACGTATTTATATAATGATATTTGTTTGTGGAGGCATGCAAGGCTTTTAGAAAATCACATAGATAAATGTGAAATAATTCTCATAAGTGTTAAAATTAAAAATAGATAATGTTTATGTGATGAAAATATCCCCTATCCATGTATGAGACATAACAATCTGTGTGTAAAAATGTGTTGTACATTGTAATTTGCATAAGGAAGTAGAGGTTAATGGGAACAATAGGTTTATGACAAGCTTCTACAGCATAAATTATCCTGCAGCAAATAAATCATTTTATTCTGGTAGTGGAAAAGATTGCATGATGTTAGCACGGAAGATTTTAATGTATAATACTTTGGCCTTACATGCAAATAAAGTTTGCTAATTGTATAATTTTCATGCACACATATTATCCTATTTTTACATTATAAATTCATATTAGCCTTGCACTTATCACCTGAGATTATACTCACTGCATCAAAATAGTCTAAAGTTCATTATAATCATTCTACAATGAGGTTTTCTTTAATAAACACTGATTTCATGTATAATTATGATGATCATGTTTTTCCCCCAAACGCATACCTTTATAGTTTTCTTAATCCAGCCTGATCTACATTTATGATGGATAAAATAATACAATTATAGGGAGTGAAAAGAAAAGGTGAAAAAAAGATATGAGCAATATTGAACGGACACTCCACGGCCCAAATAAAAAAGATCCCTATTTTGTAGATATACCCCAATGAAAACATTTGTGCATTTAATTATGCATGTTTCCATTGGTGTATATATAAAATCAGCTTGTAAAAGCTGCAGTTCTCTTGTCTGCAACCTTTGTAAACCCTCCCCTTCTAACCCCGCCCAGACTTTCTGTGACTGTCCAATCATAGATGTCCCAATGCAGCTCAATGAGAAATCTTTACAAGCCAGGTGCTCTGAGCAATAGGCAGCATCTTGAGTTTAGATTAACTGAGCCAAACAAACCAGGAAGTAACAGGACCTATTGTCTTCTTTAAAGGACCACTATAGTGCCCTGAGGGTGCCCCCCACCCTCAGGGTCCCACTCCCGCCCGGCTCTGGAAAGGGGAAAAGGGGTAAAACTTACCTTTTTCCAGCGCTGGGCGGGGAGCTCTCCTCCTCCGATCCTCCTCTTCTCCTCCCCGTCGGCTGAATGCGCACGCGCGGCAAGAGCTGCGCGCGCATTCAGCCGGTCACATAGGAAAGCATTCATAATGCTTTCCTATGGATGCTGGCGTGCTCTCACTGTGAAAATCACAGTGAGAAGCACGCAAGCGCCTCTAGCGGCTGTCAATGAGACAGCAGCTAGAGGAAATAGGGGAAGGCTTAACCCATTCATAAACATAGCAGTTTCTCTGAAACTGCTATGTTTATGAAAAAATGGGTTAACCCTAGCTGGACCTGGCACCCAGACCACTTCATTAAGCTGAAGTGGTCTGGGTGCCTAGAGTGGTCCTTTAATGTTAGGGGTGGTGGTTTACAGGGTTAATTTTTAAAAGTACCCATTTTTATTGAAATCTGCACTTTTTTGTAAAATGACTGAATGAAACATACTCCAACACATATGAAGCATTTCAGAAGCTAAAGTGCTTGTGGGGCCCAGAGTATCCCCTTTAAGTAAAAGCTAAAAATATATAATGTGGCATTTGTGTGTAATATTACACACAATAAATGATTGCACAGGAAGTGGACCTTCCTACACTTTGGACATGACACAGAGTAAAGTCCAGTTAAACAAATGACCTTTTTCACCTTATGTGCTATGTTGATTTCCGGTCAGTTTTCATAGCTATCAAAATTAATTTCTAATTATTTTGTATACAACTAGTGTGACTTGATTTTCTCCATTTACAAAAAGTAAAATAATCACATTGTAGAAAGTGCCATAATTTTTAAGTCTAAATGTTTTTGAAACCTCATACAATATACCTGTACGTTTACAGGGACACTTTAAGTACTATAATCATGAAAGCCCACTATAGAAATTGTATTGCTACAAGTGCTCTGGTGCCCCACTACCCTCCTCCCCTCCCAGAAGCACTCTGTTTGAGCTAAATGCTGGGCTTAGCTCACTGGCTGAGAGAAATCAGCTGATGCTTTCATCCAATGAAGTACCCCTGTACTGCAGAGCTTTGCTCGGCAGAGCAGACATAAGCTCCTAACAGGAGCTTCCAGCTCTCCCTTCAGCCTGCACATTGGGAGTAGGAGCAATACTTGACAGATTCCAGGTAATTACAACCTTTCTAAAACAGTTTGACAACTTACAATGAGCAGGCGCTGTAATGATTATGATGGTTAGAGTGTTTCTTAAATATTGGTCCTTGTTCATGGTGAGTTCATCCCATCGAATCCCAGATTAGTTGTCAGTTGCACCTGTTAGCAACTAGAGATGTCGCGAACCGTCCTATTAGCAACTATTTTTAACCAGCAACTATTGGAAAATAGTTGGGGATGGTTTCACATTTTTATGCAATACCAAGAAAGCCACCAGCAAAGCCACCGGAGCAGGCCCAATTCTTGGCAAGATCAATTAAAAATTGATCATCAATCCAGGTCATTAAAATGAGTACTGTTACGTTGAATGGTAACATGTACATCACAGAATGGACTGTAAAACTAGTGAAAAAACAAGCATACCATTCCATTTTTGATTATTATTATTATTATTATTATTATTATCTTGAAATAGTAATTACACCTTAATTTACTATCGATTTGTTAAAAAAACATTCATTTTTTTTTCAAATGCTGCAGTTAAATGCATTCCATTTGACAGAAGCACTGTTATTAACTATCCCTTTAACTTTTTTATTATCTCGCATTTGAGCTACTCATTAGATATACAACGAGCCCGGCACCCCACCCTACTAAAAAGGAATCATGATGTAAGCTATTCAATAGAATTGATAGAATTGTGTTTGCTTCCTTGCTTGATAGTATATATTCCATTATAAATGAATCACCCGTTCAGTTAGATAAAACTCGAACGGCAAAGCCTGGGAAATTTCCTTGTAAGATATACAGCTTTATATTTTATATACAGTGAGGAAGCTCATTAGGTCAGAAGCAAAATAGGAAGATATATTGTATGTCTTGTTATTTATAGTGAAATAGACAACAGTTTGGAAACGTGCCCACTTATCTCACATAAAGAAGTATCTTTAACTCTTGAAGCTTTAGAGAATAGTTTGTAGCTTTTCAGCGCAATAGACTGCACTTCTCACTGGCTCCTAAAGAGTTAATACATCACATCAGTGTACAATATCATTTTACTTAGAAGTCAATATTGTTTTCAACATTATCATTCTATATTTAGATGCAATGGCATAGGGCAAGTTATTCTGTGACTGCTTTTAATGCAGATAGGGTTATAAGAACTTGATTGATTTGCTTTTAAAACCAGTTTCTGTATTTCCTGACCGTTCCTCCAAACCTTTTAAACATTTGACAAAGTTTAAAAAAAAACAAAAAAAAAAACAAGGCTATTACAGAAAACACTCGTAGCCTTGATAGCAACTTTCAGGAAAATAATGCAGCATATTTGCCTAGACAGACAAATATATAACTAGGAAACGGCGTCAGACTGTGGTTTAGAGAAGGGCCAAAAGAAATGGAAGGGATATTAAAGCTCACTGCTGTATTGACATTAATATTCAGACCTCAACCTGTTTAAGTGATGCTATTTGTATAACAAATCTGAGTGGAGTAAAACCTAAAAAAACAAAATAAAAATGATATGAAAGACATTAGGGTTTGTTTTTTTTCTTAGTGTGGAGACATAAAGTTACACTGTCATGTATTGAAATTTTTTATATTCACATATATATTATTCTGACCAAGTGAGTAACCAATGCATAGAAAGTATTGATCCTGATGAAATTCCTGGGAAAGGACTGAAACATTGATCCTATTTTAACCTTGATGAAATAAAGAATTTATTTTATGGAAGACCGTGAGTGCAGCTACCTTTCTATTATTCTGGATATTTAAAGACCCTGCCATTGCACCCAGAAAATTGTCAAGTATTTCAGTCAGTGTGCACTGATTTCCTGTGTGTATATATATATATACATGCTTGGATCTTGGATATCTTATCTTAGTATAGCTTAGTGGGTATGCAGCCTTAGGTCATGTATTACAAGTTGCCCTTCAATGATTTGACATAAATTTAAATAATTAGTAATACTTCAATGTGAGAACATAGTCTTGACATTGGAACTGAACTATTTCATAACTTCCATCATTCTCCTGATGAATCTGGGATATTGGGGATGTGTTCAAAGGAGGGGTATATTTGATGACATCACTAGTCTGCATTGATAATAAGGAGGCGCGTATAGCAAAGTGTGCTGACAAGAACTTTGCAAACATTTGTTTAAGCCACTAGTCTGAATACAATTATATGCCAATTGTTGAGTTAATCGATCCCAAAAATGTGGTCATGTCGTTCAGAAATGACCAGAAGTTTAATTAATTATATTTTAAAAATAAATTAACAAATTTAGTTAATTTGTGAAAAAAATAACCACATTTTCAGAATTGGTTAACTAAAATTATTTGCAGGAATTTAATTTTATTCAGATAAACAGCTTAAAACACATTTTTGTAAAAGTCTGCTAAAGATGGTCTTGCGTAACCTAAAATTATGTGTTGAAAAAAACGAACTTTTGGGGAAAAAAAGGAGGACATAAAATGGAATAAAGAAGTGTGGTACTTAACAGAATTTCTATTGTTAATGTTGAATACATTTGTGGAAAATTGGAAAATATCCATCTTGCTCTCCTACTTTCCTTCTCATAAACTGCTTTTTTTTTTACTTCACTTTCCTTCTAATCTCCTTTCCATCTGTTATTTAATTTCCCCTTAAATATCTCACTTCTCCACTTTCTCTACCACTGCCACTTTCCCTCCCATACTCCATTATTCCTCACTAACTCTCTTTTTATTATATAAGTCTAGTTTCCCCATTCCCTCTTCTACCAGATCTAAACTTTCTCATCATCTCCCTTGTCTTCTTGGCCACTTCCTAGACATCTTTTCCTTTTTAGACCATATTTTTTCATTTGTTTGGTTTTCTGCTCATTCGAATTTCCTTGACATCCATCCCCACTTCTCTTTGCTGATTCCCTCTCTTCCTTATGAACTGCACCCAAATCTCCATTACAATCCCTGATCACTTGCCAGTGGTGCATTCACACATTTCAACAGCAAAGAAACCTTTTGCACTCCATGTTCAGCCTATCCCTAATTGGTGCACCACATTCCTATCTAAATGGGCAATTTTGCATGAGCTCGACAAGAATTAAAGAACTGTCTGCATCATGATTCATGACCAGCCAAGCAACAATACTGCACAGTGGAAGAAGAAGAATAAGTAGAGATCCTCCTTCTTTTAGTTAAAGTATGACACCAACCATTTACAAGCTTCAGCCCCCCATTTCCTCCTCTACACAGTTCTATGCTGTAGAGACCTGCCAGAGATGGGCCTCATTTTTCTTCTGTACAAAAAAGAAATCCATCCAGAATTAAATAGTTCAGCTCTGTTTGTTTATGGATAGACATAGTGACAAACTCCCCTCTCCTAGTGAGTTTGCCATGAGCTCCTGGAGGATCCTCCTTGCCAGCCTCCTGCCCGCAGACTATGGGCCCTGCAGGGAAATCTGTAAAAGACTACCAAACCTGACCGTTAGCACTGATTTCATGGAACTGTTTTGGGCATAGGACCATGGGCACGGTCGGTCAAAATTATGAATTCCAGGTAATTCCTGAACCCCTGAACTGACCTGTGTGATTTTTGGATATGTTGGTCAGCCAGATCAGGGCTATCAGGGGATGTAATGTGTCATGTGTTTTGGGGTACTTCTGGGACTTTTTTTTTAGAAATGTATGTTTTTTTCTGTGCTTGGAGATAATTGGATTAGAATTAGTACAGTTACTGATCCAATTATCTCCCAAGCAGAGGAGAGGGATTGTGTGTCATGTGTGGGAGTGCCTTACATTCTAAATGTGTTTTTATTGGTTTGTAAGTTTGTGTCCCTGTCCCTTGCTTGGGAATTGTCATAAAAGGCCAGTGTGGCACCATTAAAATCTATTCCAGTTTACACTCCCATCCTGTTATTGGAGGGAAAGAAGATTTACTCCTGTGTCTGCTGTTCCAGCTTGCAGGGGATTCAACGGGGAAAGTCCTTGTAGGAATTAGAGCTAATTCCCTATTCGGCTCCAGGAAGGAGCAGTTCCAGGGCCAAGTCAAGCCATGGTGACTGTGGGCAGAAGCATAGGCATGTGCACGGGGTGTGCCGGGTGTGCCTGGGCACACCCTAATCCCCGTGGCACACCTATGGTTTGAGTCCTGCAGGAACAGTGTTCCTGCACTTTTTTTTGAGCAGGAACACTGTTCCTGCAGGCACTCAGCACCCCCTGTCTCACCTCTTGCCCCTGTCATGGGGATGGCAAGAGGTGATGGATAC